CACGTTCCTCGAGAGAATCAAGTCGGCCCTCGTGCCTGGTTCTAAGCTCTTCAAGCGTATCTCTGTGCTCACTAGCACGCTGGTTGAGAGAATCAAATCGATCCTCATGCCTAGTTCCAAGGTCCTGCATATCACTGGTGGTCTTTTCAATCATGGCGGCCAATTGATGTGATGTGTGCTTCTCAGTGGGTCCAGATCCTGGTTCGGCATGAGTTGCGTCCGCTTCCACGTTATCAGGAGCTGGACTAGGTGCTCTCGCCCATGGAGAGGGTAGATCGTCCTCTATGCAACGGCGCTTGGTGGGAGTTGGATCGAGCTCGCCGGGGTGGGGCTTGCGCTTCTGAGCAGGGTTTCCCTCGGACTCGATGAGCTCGTCGACGGTGACTTCCATGGCATTTGGTGTCAAAGACCTAGAAGGAGGAGAGGGCGGGGGTTGGGGGTCGTTGTTTCTGGGAGGAGGGGCCATAGATGTTCGGGTAGACGACTGGTCACGGTCATAGCCAGTGCTCTGAGAGCGAGAGCGCAAGCCTTCGCCTTTGATTCTGAAGGGAGCAGGGGTGCCTCTATCTTCAGGAAAGCGACCAAGAGTAGGGGGGTCGTCAGGGTCGATGAGGAGAGAGTAGTCGCCGTGTTGGAGGAAGCGGTCCCAATCAGCATGAAGCCTCTCCCATTCGGCGGTGATGTCGTCTCTCCTGGGCCATCTGGGCAGGGGAAGGTCGCCACCGCGGGTGACCCAGGCGTCAATGAGGTCGGCCAAGAGATTCTCTTGGCGCCTTTGGATGTGGCGGTTGTTGAGGTATGCGTCGCGACGGTCAGCGTAAAGGTTGACGATGAATTTGGTATCGGAAACATTTGTTCCAATTCCCCACTTGAGACGGACGAATTTCCAGAAGTTGTCATGGTCGAAGGAGAGATGCTGTGTCATGAGCAGGAGGCGGAAGAGGACGACGAGATTGATCCAGATGGTGCGTTTGCGATAGTAGAAATCCTTGGTTTCGTCTGCGCCTTTTGGGGGCTTGTCATACTTGCCGCCCAGGCGTCTCACGTGGACAGGATTGAGGAAGAGAGCGTTGGACTTGATGGGATCATCGGGCCAGGGGAGGACTGCCAGGGATACGCCGCTGATGAACCATATGTCCTGGGGGGTCCTCTGGTGGTAGTCCCGTTTCACCATTTCGACGGTTCAGCCGGAGGCTCTCCAGCTCCAGCTCCAGCTCCAGCGCGGGTGCCGTGGGATGAAGTCACGACTGGGTCGTGGGGGCGGTTGTCGTTTTGAGATTCATGGAATGAGATGTGAGAAGGGCCAGGTGGATGTGTGTAGGGACGGAGAGGATGGCCCGATTCGATGTGGTGGTGGTGGAGGAGGTGTAGGGTGTGTGTATGTGGTGTGGATGAGAGTGAGAGTGAGACATTGGAGGAGTTGGGGCAGCTGGTGTCGCGGTCGCGGAGATGGATGAAATTCTTCACCTATCGACAGGGGTCGCGGTCACGGCCACAGCACCCCATAGCACCTGCTGGACGCAATCAAATCAGCCCGCCCCGGCCCACGCGTCGCTGTGCCCCTCCACGTCCAGTAATACCGTATCGACCACATTGCTGCCCAAGCTTCACCTGATGACCGAAGACGGGAAGCTTCACAATGCCAAGGGCAGCACCTCCCCTAAAATCCATCTTAACTCATCCATCATACCTTAGGTAGGTACGGAGGAGGCACGTAGCTCCTTCCATCGGCGCATGTCCCGGTCTCCGGCCCCGCCGTTTATCCAATTTTCTTTATTCCCCGTCTCTCATGTCACGGTTCCCTCGAGAGACACATTCTCCAACACACACACACACACACATGCGTTCGCTGTCATTGTTACACCAAACACGGGAACTCGCAAACCGTTTGCAAACAACGACAACAGCCGGAATAATTACACACTAATTACAAAGTGCCCGTCTACTCCATCACCAGCACACTGCGGAAACGCACCGTGTTCGAAATCATGTGCTCCGACGCCTTCCTCGCCTCCGCCAGAGGAAACTTCTCGACCATGCACTTGACCCCGTGTGTCGCCGCAAAGTCGAGCGCCGCCTCCGTGTCAATCTGATGTCCGCTCGGCCACCCGCCCACCGACTTGCCGCCGATAATCAGGTCCACCGAGTCCACCTCCAGCTTCCCGACCGGCGCCAGCACCAGCAGCTTGCCCCCAGGCATGAGTCCGCCAGTGAGGGGCGAGATGGCCTTGGCGTGAGGCGCCGTCGCCACGATCAACGCAGCACCCCCCAGCTCCTGCAGCCTCTTGACTGGGTCCTCCGCGCTGGTGTCAATGTATTCGTGCGCACCCAGCTTCGTCGCAAACTCCTTCTTAGACGACCCAGAGCTGAGAACTGCCACCTTGTATCCCATCTTATTGGCGTACTGCACCCCGAGGTGGCCCAGTCCGCCGAGACCCTGGATCACCACGAGGCTGCCGTGCTCGATGCCCTGTTTGCGGATGCTGTTGAACACCGTCACACCAGCGCAGAGGAGCGGCGCCGAGTCCGCCGGATCCATGTTCTTTGGCACGCGAACAACGGCTTCCGCCCGGAGAAGCACGTACTCGGCGTATCCGCCATCCATCGAGACACCGTTGACCGCCGTGTTTTGGCACGTCTGGAAGAAGCCCTTCTGGCATTGGGGGCATGATCCGTCGTGACCTGTTGAGGCAGTCAAACGTCAGCAGATGTCTTCACTACTTGTCCCACGGGAAAGGACCTACCTCCGTGCCAGGCACCTCCCACCCGCTCTCCGCCTTGGAATCTTGTTACGTCATCTCCAACCGCCACCACATCGCCAATGATCTCATGGCCGGGAACCCGAGGGAACAAGCCGTCACCAAAGCCTCCCTCCTGGACAACCACGTCAGAGTGGCAGACGCCGCAGGCCAGCACCTTGACAAGCACCTGGCCTGGGCCGGGCTTCTTCAGCTCCTGGTCGACAATCTCAAGCGGTGCGCGCACCGACTTGATCACAGCCGCCTTGTACGTGTGCGGAAGTGAAGTCATGGTGGGTGCTGTTCGTGATGTATGTGATATAAGTGAGTGAGCGTCGCAGTTGAAAGCTCAAGATCCAAGTTATGATTTGGTTTGGTAGTTGGCTTGACAATATTTTGGGAAAAGGCCGGACTAGATTGTCTTTATATACCAGAGGAGACCAGCCCAACAAAGGGCATCTGGGTGTATCGGTCACCACCACGTAGGCAGAGACTAACTCCAGCTCCAGGTTACTAATACCCCTCGTTACAGCACCATCAGACAATCAATGACAAGGATCTTCGGCGCCTCCACAGGTAACGGAGACTCCGGCAGAACATGGGGTGCGAGCATGTTTTGCCATATCCATCTGGCACCTACATTTACGCGGTACCTCATCGGGAAGATCTAGATCTCGGCGTCTCTTGATAGGCCAGCTGCTTATGAATCTTGCTCACGAACTGCCAGTCTAGCGCATGGAGCCGAGAAGGATGGCTTTAAATGAGCTTTTTTTTTTTTTTTTTGACTGGTTGATCGGACATCAAGTCAAGATCTTCTGAGAATCTCATAGCTTGAAGTGACGTCTGGTCTTCAGTTGGAAGTAGACCCATCTCGTTCGCCAAGCTATGGGCTCCGGCACAGCTCCACCTCCGCCGTGTGCCCCGTGGGCACCGTGGGCTCCATGGTCTCCGGGAACAGACGCAGTATCAAAACCGTCTTAGTGCGCGTGAGGTCTTGCTGTCCAACCCTTAGCATCGTCTCCAGATGTTCTGCAAGAGCGTTACAATTCCGCGCGCCAGCTCATGCCTCTTCTCTCCTAACGCCGATGGCAGCTAGGAATCACAGCTTGTCGGGCGATGCAAGGTCCTTGGCAGGTAGCGGTGACAATTGCCATCTGCCTTTCCAAATGAGGGGTGGCTTTGGTCGTCGAGAGCCCAGAGCTTCGGATGACATCAACAAGACCGAATTTCTTCATCACCCCTCAAATGAAAGGTCCTAACGCCGACGGAATAACTCAGACCAAGCGTGACTCCAGCACGCCAACCAAAACTAACACCTGGGTCACAGCCTCGCTGCAACCATGTCGTCCGGTCCCAAGATAAGTCGATGTCAAATCCATAAAGCCGTCAGGCCAGGATGTACAAGCACGGTGATCATATCCGTGGCGGAAGGCATCTCCCGGCTCGGGAATCGAGGCGTCCAGATCGCCTCTCATATCCTCCTTAATCCCGCGCGCCAATCACATATTGATCCCTCTTCGGGCTTACAGCTCACCTTTCTCCAAACCCGACAGTGACAGAACAGAGCCGTGGGAGCTTGGATCAGCCCCAGAAGTCCCGTTTACTGATTCAATCCAGGTATGGTACGTCATGCACATCAAGCCGCCAGCCCTATCGGGCCAAAGTCCATCCCATTGGAGCTGATCCAAGCTCCGTCTTCCACAGCACTTGGATCTGACAGCCTCACTATCAAACTAGCTCGCGGCTCGGTCTCAACAAAGGTCCAATCCGGCAATTCCTAATCCCCGTCCGAGACATGGCTAATCGACACAAACAGCGGGGTTATCCGCCCTGCTACGCCCGCCGAGCCCCTCCAAAGTGACACAGAAACCAAGCTCTTGAATCTCTCCCACGCAAGCTCGGCCTTTCGCGCGTTGGAACAAGCCTTTTACTAGCGAAGGCATGCAGCGCGTGCATAGCTCCAAATCCACATGTTCGGAAGCAGATCAGCGCTGCTTCACTGAGGTGCCATTTCTTTCTCCGACAATGGAGCTTTGTTCGTTCCTTCGATGTAGGCGCGATTCGGATGACTCGCCCCTCGCGCTTGCGAGCGCCTCTGCAAGCAGCGTCCATTCCATATAAGACCCCAGAGATCCTGCCAAGCTCTCGTGATGAATGCTGTTCCGTAGACTTAGTCGACAACTCAAACCTGGTAATTCTCCGTAGCATAAGCACACGACACCTCTCAGCAAACCCACCCAAACCGATCCATTAGCTCTCAACATGTCGCTCCAAGACAAGGTCATCGTCATCACCGGCGGCTCCAAGGGCATCGGCCGCGCCATCGCCCTGTCGGCCGCCTCGCAGGGCGCCAAGGTCGTCGTCAACTACAGCAGCGACTCCTCCGCCGCCGACGAGGTCGTCTCCAAGATTGGCAGCGACCGCGCCATCGCCGTCAAGGCCGACAACTCCAAGATGCCCGAGCTGCAGAAGCTCGTCGACGCCACCGTCGACAAGTTTGGCCGCATCGACGTGCTCATCCCCAATGCGGCGCTGATGCAAATGCGCACCGTCGAGAACACCACCGAGGAGGATTTCGACATCATGTTCAACACCAACGTCAAGGGTCCATATTTCCTGGTTCAAGTACGACTTTCTTTTCCTCATCTCTGATTTTGGGGGTTTTGCGCATCAAATACACCACAGGCCCGCTGTGACTAACATGTCCCAGAAAGCGCTTCCTCACATGTCCGAAGGAGGCCGTATCATCCTCCTCTCAACGACCGTCCTCGCATCTAGCAGTCTACCTCCCAACTACCTCCTCTACGCTTCTACGAAAGGCAGCATCGAGCAGATGACCAAGTACATGGCCAAGGACCTCGCCACAAAGGGCATCACCATCAACGCCATTGCCCCTGGTCCCACCGGTACAGACCTCTTCTACAAGGACAAGACGCCAGAGATGGTGCAGCGGGTCACAAGCATGAGCCCCTTCGGCAGGATCGGCACGCCAGAGGAGATTGCAGACGTTGCCATCTTCCTTTCTGGAAAGGGCTCATCATGGGTTACAGGACAGGTTATTCGTGTCAATGGCGGAACGGCCTAAGGTTGAGACTTGGATAGTGTATGCTGCGCATTCAGTGCTGGTGAAAGTATAGAAAAATTCCCATTGACGCCTGGCCTTGATTCTCCAAAGCCTGTTTGATTCCATCGCAATCCCATGTCATCGTTGTCGTCTTCCTTGCATCATGCATATGACTCTAGCTTTATTACTGTGCTCCCAGGGCAGCGAGCGCATTGCGAAGCTCCTTGACAGCCGTCGGGACATCTTCAAAGTTGAGCGCGGAGATGGCCCACTTTGCATGCTTCTGTGCCTTGGGCAGATCCAAATCATCCATCGGCCCGTTATTGGGAGTCCAAGAGTTGTTCGAGATGGGCACGACGGGCGCCTTGGGCTGCTGCGGAACGGACGGCGGGGGCTTGAACTGCGGAGCGGCAGGCGGAGGTGTCGGCTTGGGTATTTGCGGTGGCTGCCACGGAGAGGCGGGGTTGGCAGGGCTAAAGGAGGGCGCGGCGGAACCGGCAAACGGCGACGGGGCCGAGGGGGCGTTTGCTGCCGCACTATCGTTGGCACCAGTTTGGCTCAGGGGTGACGGAGGGAACTGTTCGGGAGGGTCAAAGTAGCCCTTGTTCTGCGGTACCGAGGGGTTCACATCGTTACCCGACGGAACGGAGGGCAGGTCAAGCACGCTCGACTGCGCGGGCTCGGGCTCGCTCGGTTCTTGTGGCGGGGCCGGAGCCGAGGGGGCTGCCGCCTGTCTATAGAACTCGGTTTCCGGATCGTCCTCGACGGTGGGAGCTGGCGGTGGCGACGCCAGTCCTAGGACCTCGGGATCGTTGGGGTCCAAAGAGGGAAGAGCTTCTTCGGGTTCTGGTTCTTTGGGGTTCGATTCGTTGGGATCCTTTCCCTCCTTGATGGCCTTCAATATGCGAGCAGCGTTCCACTTTGCGTATTTGACCTTCTTCTGTGTCTCGTCGTCGATTTGTCCCCAGATATTTCCTAGCAGGAAGAATGTCGCAGCGGCATCATAGGTATCGGCGGTTTTCCTGATTAGACACATCCGTTAAAGTCTGTTGGGGAATGGGACTTGCCAGAGACAGCATACCTGGTAACTTTGTTCGCGCGCATAACCTTCTCTGCGCGATCGAATGTCTCCTGGGCAAACTGCTCGACATAAGCCTGTCCGACGGTATCGTCCGTAATGGCTTCTTCTGCAGCATTTTCGGTTTTTGTCTGTTACCGCGTGTTAACGGTATGGATCTCGTGTATGTTCCAATCCAAGATAGGTGCTTACCCTCTCAAGACGGTCCATCAAGTTGGTGGTGTAGGCCAGACTCTCTTCGTCGACATTGTGCAATTGCTTGGCCAGGATCTGGTTGATAACCCAGTATTCGCCTAGATGCGCTGTCAGCCTCGGTGGTCGGCAAAGGTGCGGCGGACTCCATGGCACGCACACCAGTAGGTAACTGCGGGCTTGAAGTCGCGCAGCTGGTTTGCGCGATTGATGAATCTCGTGATGTCGGCCTGTCGCAGGCTATCGGGGATTGGGTCGGCCATGGTGGGCTGGCAGGGCGGGTTGCGGCGGTCAAGCCTAGAGGTTCACAGCTTGCAACGGACACGGGGAGAGTTGAAGACACGTCGGATGTGTCGAGCGGGAAGAAATCGACGGGATTTCGGAGGCAGGACGCTCACGGGCCGGACATGCGACGAGGGGTGCAACGCCGAGATGTTGGAGACATGTTCTTGGACCTCGTGCTGCATATCGCTGAGCGTTCAGTGTCCCCACTGTACGTACTTAGGACATGGCATCACTGGCGGGGAAGGTGGTCACCGGATGCAGAGATGGAGATACATCAGCCATGTACCTTCCTCCTTGCTTGTTGCTACCTACATCCCTGCGCCACACCGTTCGGCTGGTCAAGCCTCAATACGTACCGACTTCCTGATTGAAGGTGTGGCTCAAGCTCCAACAGCTGGTGTGGGGTCGTGGCTTGCTTCTCTCCCTCAATGCACAATGCACGGTGCACTGCAGAGTAGTCAATGGCTGCCTGTCATTGACTGGAAATTTCCACGGTTCCATTCACGGTCGAATTGAGCCTGGCAATCGGACCAGGCCATGCGCCTAGGTGAGGGGTTCGCGTCTCACAGTTCCACGCTGGCCTCTTTCCCAAATTGAAAAAGATGCCAACTTGACACCTTTTTCCTTTTTCTTTTTACCTGCTTCCTTTTTTCGTCCCAAGGTTCCCCAATCCCTACGGGTCTTTAAATGCAGACGACGTTCTCTTGAGAGCTGCCCTTCCGGCCGAACCTGAACCTAGTTCCAAGCTCTAACACACAATTCCTCCCACGCCTCTTGTCCAAATCTCTCTCTCCCACCTCCCCCTCTCTTACACCACAACCAACTAAAATCTTCCTGGCGTCACATCCCTTCAGACCCCCCACTCAGGTCGCTCCTCAACTCGACCTTATCCACCGCGATGCATCACCCCACACTGCTCGCCGCCGCCGGCGTTGCCGTGCTGTCAGCCCTGCCCGGAGTCAATGCCGGCATGTACACCAAGAGCTCGCCCGTCCTGCAGCTCGACGCCCGCAGCTACGACAAGCTGATTGCAAACTCCAACTACACCTCGGTATGCGCCGCCACCCCCGCTGATCAATCTCCAGCCTCCGTTCGCTGACTTACACACCCAACCAGATCGTCGAGTTCTACGCTCCCTGGTGCGGACACTGCCAGAACCTCAAGCCCGCCTACGAAAAGGCCGCCAAGAACCTCAACGGTCTCGCAAAGGTCGCCGCCATCGACTGCGACGATGACGCCAACAAGCCCTTCTGCGGCGGCATGGGCGTCCAGGGTTTCCCGACTCTCAAGATCGTGAGACCCGGCAAGAAGCCCGGCAAGCCCATCGTTGAGGACTACCAGGGCCCTCGTACCGCCACCGGCATCGTTGAGGCTGTCGTCGACAAGATCACCAACCACGTTAAGCGCGTCACCGACAAGGACCTCGATTCCTTCCTTGAAGGCGACAAGCCCAAGGCCATTCTATTCACCGAAAAGGGAACCACCAGCGCCCTCTTGCGCAGCGTCGCCATTGACTTCCTCGACGCCGTCAAGGTTGGCCAGGTCCGCAGCAAGGAGTCTGCAGCTGTCGAAAAGTTTGGAGTCAAGTCTTTCCCTACTCTGGTTCTCCTGCCTGGTGGCGACAAGGATCCCATTACCTACGATGGAGAGATGAAGAAGGACGGTCTCGTCAAGTTTATTTCTCAGGTCGCCGAGCCTAACCCCGACCCTGCGCCCGCCAAGGACAAGAAGAAGGCTGAGAAGAAGACGGAAAAGAAGGAGGAGAAGAAGGCCGACAAGAAATCCTCCGCCAAGCCCGCCGCTGCCGAAGAGGCATCCCCGGAGGCCGAGACGCCCACCGAGACCCCCGCTACCCAAGAGACTCCTGCTGCTCCTGCCACTCCCGCTATTCCCGTCATCGCCACTCCCGAGAATCTCCAGAAGGAGTGCCTCAGCCCCAAGTCTCACACCTGCATCCTCGCCTTTGTACCGACCAAGGAGAACGAGAAGGCCCAGAAGGCTCTCGGCAGCCTTGCTGAGCTCGCCCACAAGTACGCTAAGGGTCAGCGCAAGATCTTCCCCTTCTTCTCCGTTCCCGAGGAGAACACCGCCGGCGCCTCCGTTATTAAGGGTCTGTCCCTCAAGGGCGATGTCGAGATCGTTGCTCTGAACGCTCGCCGCAACTGGTGGAGACACTACGAGGGCGACTTCGACCTCGTAAGCGTCGAGAACTGGGTTGACGCTATCCGCCTGGGTGAGGGTGCCAAGAAGAAGCTTCCTGAGGGCGTGGTAGTCGAGGAGGTCGAGACCCCCAAGGAGAGCACCGAGTCTACTGCGGCTACTGAGCCCACCCCCGAGCCGGAAACTGAAGCTCCCAAGGAGGCGGCATCTGAGACCCCTGCTGCGCACGACGAGTTGTAAACAAAAAAGGCCTGCATGATGTTCTGTACGCATGATTAGCTGGAGTTGTACCATAACAATCAGTAGGGAATCTGACCGTTGATAATACTATACTTTCCACCGTCGTAATGCATCGTCCGCTGCAGCAATCCTATGACTCCATCTCCAGATCCAGACCAGTTCCCTTCTCCGCCGCGCCCTCCTGCACCATCTGCCTGCCCTTCTCCTTCACAGCCCTGTCCATGAACTGCCGCACCTGCTTGCATCCGTCTACGCCAACCGCCAGCATACCCTCCAGACGGCTGACCTGCACACGACTCTCGCAGACCAGGACGGCGACGCGGTCCGTCAGACCAAGTGTCCCTACCGTCAGGTACGGCAACTCCTGCTCTTCCTGAGTGTTCAAATCCAGCAGAGGGTCGGCGCCTTCGTCGGCAGCGGCATATGTTGATGTTGAGCCCGCAGTGCATGCGGCAATGTAGTCGGTCATGGGAATACCCGCGTCAATCAGTGCGAGAGTCGAGGCATTCAGCAGCGCAGCCAGCAGAGAGCCGTCCTGCGACAGGACGTGCAGCGAGATGGAGATGCTGCTGTGAGGGAAGAGATGGGTGTGGAGGTTCGCGGCGACAGCCTTGGCGATGGCAGCCTCAAGTTCTTGGTTGCGCCTGCAGAGACAAGAAACAGTCAGTCAATCATTGCCCTCATCGTCGCATCTCGGGTTCACGTCGGCACCCACTTGTCATTGCGACCGCGCTTCCTGCGGTCGACTGAGCTGAAGCCGGCAACTACAATGTTAACGTTGACGGCAGCGTCCTTTGTCTGACCACCCGCGCCTCCCCGTCGCTGGGGTTCGCTCGGTCCCGTCACGACGCACATGACCTTGGTGTGTCCCATCTCGAGATAGCTGGAACCGTCTGCGGCCTCCTGGGTGCGGATCTGGGCGTGCAGGCGTCGGAGCTCGTTCCAGCGGCGGCCGTCCACGCGCAGCAGCGCCATGGAATATGTTGATGTGTCGAGAGGCATCGTCGTCTGTTGTTGCTATCGTCAATTCCGGGGGAAAGCAAGATTGCTGCGAATTGGTGTGCTG